ATCTGAACCTGTTCAAAAGAAGGTCAAGATTGCTGAGAAGCCCAAGAAGCTCTTGAAGAGAAAAGATTCTGAAGAAGCTGCTTCTGTACCTGCTAAGAGGATCAAAGTAAAAGGTACTAAATCTTCTGTATCTTCTGCAAAACTTGTTATTAATGATTCTAATGTTAAGTCTGTTCCAGATCCACCTTCTACACAAACCACTTCTGTTACTGCCCCCAGTTCCATTTCTCCACAAAAACAAACAACAACACTAACAGTTTCTGTACCAAAACCATCTCAACCCAAAATTCATATCAAACACTTTGTTCCACGACCTCAACCATTAGAACAAAAACCATCATAACAACAACCATTTGTTCCCCAACAAACCTCTGAACATCCAGATAACCAACCAAAAGAATCTCAACCAGAAAAAGCATCTGACAATCCACCATCAAATAATCCACCTTCTGAACCTATTGCACCTGTTACTTATGAACCTGCAAAAGTAACTTCTGCTCCAGTTTCATCAGAACCAATAACTATTTCATCTGTTTCACCCATCTCAGAACAACCATCCAAACAATCTGACATTCCTTCATAACCTACCAATACTTCTGAACCTCACATCCCTGAGACAGAAGTTCTTGATGTCACACCACTAAAAATAGTGTTTCAAGTATCTTCTACCTCTTGTACACCAACCACATCCTCTAACTCATCAGAATCAGAAATTCACCCAGACTTTCTAATCTCTCCATCTGAAAAATACTCGGAGATAAACCAACCTAAAACTACCATACCTTCAAAAACTCTCATTCCAGATCCTAATCCTCCACCTGCACCATCATCTGAGATATTAATCCCCAATTCTAATCCAAGATCTTCCATATCCTGTGCCCAAGTTTCTTCTCTTTTTCATAATCTGTCTTATGGTTTCAAACTGAAAGACTTTTATGACAGAGTTGAACCATCTGACCCCTTCAAACCTCTGAAACCAAAACTCACAGTGGCTCTTCCATCTGTGCTTGTTTCATATATTCAATCAATGTCAAATGTAGGATCTTTAGCAACCATATCTGCAAAATCTGATAAAGCTGTTGTTTCAGCTCTGCAAATTGCATCTGATAACACTGTTGCATCTGTTGAACCATCAAAATATGCTTTCAAACCATACTCAAATGAACCTTTTGATGTTGTTACCCCTCACAGAAGACCAAAACCTCATTTGCTTAATGCTTTAGTCAGATCTAAAGAAAAAGCTCCTGAGATACCTTTCATTCCATACTACCCCCTCCACTGATTTCCATTCAAAAATCACTTTTTCCACCAACTCCCCAACCTAAACCTATAACTCTGGAAACCTTGTTACGACCTCAGCCCAGACTTAATATTGATCATTCATTTCAAACATTTTTGCAAGAAATACAGATGTATTTAGGTACTGTTCAGAAGAAATGCTCAGAAACAATGGATGCCAAAGAATCTGACATCATCTGGAACGGATTCATCAACAGATTCAACACTGTAGCTTCAAATCTGAAGAATGTCTGTTCTGATGATGCAAAGCTAAGAGCTGAAAGGACTCTCTTCTGGACTGACAATAAAACTAAACCTCTGCTTCGTTTAGATGCTCCTCCACCATCAACAAAATCTACTGATAATGCATTGGCTATGACTCTGGTAGACCCCTCTTCAGAATCTACAGAACCAATGGAAATTGACTCTGTTCAGGCTACAGAACCTCATCATAATTCTTCATCTGAGATAAAGAAAGAACATCCAAATTTTGAAGATAAGATTGCTGCTCTGGAAGCTGGACAGTCAGAGATAAAATCCTGGATGGCTAAGCAGGATAAGAAGTCTGAGGATATGACAGAATGGATGTCAAAGCAAGATGAAAAGAATGAAACTATGACTAAGTGGATGTCCAAGCAAGAGCAATCATCCTCTGAGATTACAGATTTATTGAAGATGCTTTTGTCCAAACACTCTTAGATTGTTTTTCTAATGTTTTTGCATCTGTTGTTTGCATCTGTACCTTATTGATATATCTTCTAATGTTTGTCTATGTACTCTTGATCTGATCTTTTGAATGAATCAAAGTTTTCTCCATTGAATTATCTTATTTATTGTTTCCTTTTATTTGTCTTTTTAAAAGTATTTACTTTTTGCTTATGAGAAAAAAGGGGGAGAAAATATAGATCTGAACTGTTTAATATAACTTCACCAGAATGAAACTTCAGACATATCTATTCTATCTAACATTTTATTTGACTATTTCAGAACATTTGATAAGTACATTCTATAAAAGAAACTCTGAGTCTCTCAGATCATTTGTCTCTTATCAAACTCTGAATCTTAAATCTGTAAGACATTCTAACCTTCAAATGTTATAAGAACAAACAAGATCTAACTCTGAAGATTACTCAAGACAAAAGAGAAGTTTCTATTCCTTATTCATATTTAACTCAGGGGGAGATTCATCATCTCAGGGGGAGTTATAATTCTAATATGTTCAGTTAAACAAAATTTCTGATACTTTTTGTCATCATCAAAAAGGGGGAGATTGTTAGAACACAAATTGGTTCTTAATAATAACTCTTTGTTTTGATGATAACTGTTAGGAAATTTTATATTTAAGAATTATATACTCTAAAATTTGTTTGAGAGTTTTACTGCAGATTGAAATGAAATTAACTCTCTAAAAGCAAATTTGTATTGTATACAAGAAGTTATCTTGACTCTGAAGCGCCAAATGCATCTTACAGAAGATTCTGATTGCTGTTTACAGAAGATCCTGAGCGTAGTCTCCAGAAGGATCTGAAGCAAGAAGCTCCAGAAGATTCTGAAGCTAGTCAGAAGCATGTGAAGCTTAGAAGAATATTGTATGAAGAGTTTCTCAAAGCATAATTTCTACAGAAGTTTCTGAAAGTACTAACGCTGCCAAGTACTGAAGATCTGTGTCAAATATGCTCTGATGATCAACACGCTGAAAGCATACATGCTGCAGAAGACTCTGATACAGCAAAGTTCTGAACATCATTAGAAGACTCTGATCCATTCAGACTCTGAAGAACTTGCTGAAAACTGAAGAAGAAATATTCAAAGATTATATCCGTTGGAGTAAATCAAACGTCTCTTTCCTCATTTGTGCTAGACACAATAACACAGACAAAAAGGATTTTTCTGTGCTATCTACTTCTAGGAAAGGTCACTTGATGTGAAGACAAAAAGGCTCAGACCTTTTTGGGACTCTCTTTTCAACGCTCAGCTTCCTTGGATCAGCTGCCTATAAAAGGAAGTCTCCACCAAATTCTTCAGTGACACAATTTGCTGAAAAGAAATCATATTATTCAAGCTCTCATTCTTTCATATTCTTCTTAGAATTTCTTGTACTTAAACTTAAGAGAAAAATCACTGTTGTGATAAAAGCTTTATAGAAGCATTAATACTCTTGTATTTGATTTACATTGATTGTAAAGGTTTTTCCTTAAGAGGATTCAGTTGGAATCAGTAGCTCTTGAGAAGACTAAGAACAGTTGTTCTTAGGTGTTACTATTGTAATCAGTTTGATTAAATAGTGGATTAAGTCCTTGTTGAGAAAGGCAAATCACTCTAGGAAGGGTGGACTGGAGTAGTTGTTTTAAACGAACCAGGATAAAAATAATTGTATCATTTTTTTTAAAGTCTTAATCTTTCATACTTATTCAACCCCCCTTCTAAGTATTATCTCACCTTCAAGTTCAAGATCAAGCTGTGTTTATTTGGTTACTCTTAACAATACCATAGTCGATTCTTCCTCGAGTTCTTGCGTGCAAACACGCATATGAAGTTTGGGACAAAATTCACCAGTATTTCACAGCACAGATGAAGGCTAGGGTTAGATAGTTGAAAGTGGAACTAAAATCCACCAAGAAAAGAGCCAACACAATAACTGAATTTGTGCTCAAGTTAAAGCCATAGCAAATTCACTCTTAGCTATTGGAGATTCCATCACTGAGAAAGACCAAGTTGATGCTATTCTGGATGGTCTTCCTGAGGAATACAATCCGTTTGTTATGCAGATATATGGTACTCTAGTTCCACCATCTCTTTGTGACGTTGAAGCCTTGCTTTATGTTCAAGAAGCTCAGTTGGAAAAGTTTCGACAGGATCAAACTGCATCAAGTGTTGCTGTGAATCTTGCTCACACAGGTCATGGAAACTCAAGCTCGCAGAGGGACTACACACCCAACCATGGCAGAAATTCTAGGCCCTCCAGAGGTAGGGCAGGGGAAGAATAAAGCTCCCAATGGTAACAGGCCTACATGTCAACTATGTGGCAAATATGGTCATGCTGTATCCTCTTGCTGGCACATGTTTGATGAAAAATTCATGCCTCCAAATCCTAATGAAACTTAGGAAAAGCCCAGCAGTAACATGGAGTCAAGACAAGAGCAGTCTGCTGACAAACCTCAAAATTCACAAGCTGTATAAATTATATTTAAATTAGTCAATTTTTTTATTTATAAATTGACAACTTTAATTTTAAAAATAATGTATCAAACATTTTAAAATTTTATAAATTAAAATTTTCTGTTTAAAAATTATTATTATTTATAGATTTGGTAGTCCAATAGGGATAATATCATCTTTTAAAATAAATAAATACCCTACACTCAAATGTCCATCAAATTATTATCAATTATTACTATTTTTAACACAATTTCCAATTTAATAATTTTATTTAAAAAGCTTACTAATATAGTAATATGATACCGAAGGAGTGTTGCATTATCAATAGTTATTATTACTATCTTTTTTTTTTAAAACTATTTTAAATAATTTAATTATTAAAAAATGTCCTAATTTGTTTTTTTTGTACAAAAAGAAAATGTCCTTATTTGAAAAATGAATAACCTAATACGTTACCGTGTTCTTCTATTCTCTTCTCATCTTTTCCCTCACACACACTCTTTACTAAACACTGCTTTTTCTTTCTTTCATTTTTCATTCTCATCTCAATTCACCATTCACCGATGCAAGACCCTTCCAGAACCGCCACCGGCTACCCAGCCCCACCGTACAACCACCCTAACGCCGCCCAATACCCCTACGCAGCACCACCTCCTCAATACTACCACCCACCACCACCACCACATCGTCCCTACGCCTCGCGCTCCTTCTTCCGCGCCTTCTTCGCCACCATGATCTGCCTCGCCGTCATCTTCGGCGTAATCCTCGTCATCACTTGGCTCGTCCTTCGTCCTTCTCTCCCTCACTTCACTTTAACAACTCTCTCCCTCTCTAACTTCTCCGCTTCGAACCAATCCCTATCCGGCACGTGGCGCCTGGCGTTTAACGTCCGTAACGGAAACAGAAAAATGTCCGTTACTTATAACGCTCTCCGTTCATCCATCTTTTACCATTCGAACTACATCGCTGAATCGGAGCTTGCGCCGTTTAAACAAGATACGAAATCTGAAACTACGCTTAACGTTACTTTCGCCGCTGCTAATGCTTACTTTGAATCCCGCGCTGTTAGAGATCTTAACGGTGATAGGACTCGCGGTTCGGTTCCGTTCGATGTGCAGATTTTGGCTTCCACTTCGTTTCGTTCTGGTTCGTGGAGGTTTAGGACCAGAATTCTGAAGATTATCTGCCGGAAAGTTATGGTTGGGATTTCGTCGAATTCAACTTCCGGTGAATTGATTGGTTCACCCGGTGAATGTCAGGTGTGGACTTGACTTGTTTTTAGTTTTTAGGTTTACGGTTTACCCTAATTTATTTATGGGTTCTTTTTTTGAAACCCTAGGTTTGAAAATTGGATTTAGTCATGAATGTTTTTAGAGGTTTATAACTATGCATTATGGTTTATATATGAAATTGAGTATTGTTGATTAGTATTGGACTGTATATAATTCTCACATGTTATTTTATTTGCTTCACGTTCTTCTGCTTGACTTTTGAGTGTATATGTCAATTTAAGAGAAATGATTAGTTTAGCTCTCATTGACTGAAAAACTAGTCTATTCTGCTGAGTGTAATGCTAATCATTCAACTAATTGTTTTTGGGTTTTTTCAGATTATGACAAATCAATCATTGGTTTTGTTATCATCGTTTGACTTGTGTAAATTCTTAATTGAGTTATTTTAGTAGTTAGTGTTTAAATATGATGATATAGGATCCGTTATTTCAATGCATAATCTGTGGACCCTTTTCACAACAAGCTTTGCTTTTTTATTAATTTCTCACTCTGCTAGCGTGTTGAATTGAAAACATGAATGTCATCTAGTATTGTTTGTTTGAGGTGTTGCTAGAACACTTTTTTCTCCTAACTCTAGTTCATTCGTCGGATGAAATTATGTGGGTTCTGCCCTTTCATATAAGACTCATTTCTGAAATGGTGTGATCCATTTGACTTTAAGCAATTAAGAGGGTGAAAGTGTTAAATGGAGTATTCTTAGCAGTACTCTTCCTTGGTTTAGCGGTTAGTTTTTTGAGTTTTAGAGGCCTATTGCTAGAAGATCATGGCAAATGAGACTTGTTCATTTCTAGTTCTGGTTTTTGCTGTTTCTTAGCATTCTTTCATTGAAGAAGGTTGAGAAAATTATCGCAAAAACATTTTTTGTTTGGAGTAAATTCTAACAAAAAGAAACAAATTTTGATTTTCTATTCTTTTTCTTCTTTATCTGCTACACTGCATCAAAATAATATAGTTGGTTATCATCCCTAATGAAGGCCTTTTGTTAATTAGTAGAGTTATTCCTTTTGTTGATTTATAGTTGATTTATTCCTTTTACTTCAGTCTCCACCTTAGAAAAGAATGTAGTTTGTTTATAGGAGTTTTTCCTATCATTCCAAATGAAGGCCTTATGTTGATCGATAGTTGATTTATTCTTTGTTTTTCCTTTTACTGCATCTTAGAAAAGAATGAAGTTTGTCTATAGGACTTTTTCCTATCATTTGAAATGAAGGCCTTTTGTTGATTCATAGGAGTTTTTCCTTTTGTTGATTTATAGTTAATTTATTCCGTGTGTTTTTCCTTTTACTGCACTTTAGAAAAGAATATAGTTGGTTTATGAGCTTTTTCTATCATCCCAAATGAAAACCTTTTGTTGATTCTTAGGAGTTTTTCCTTTTACTTGCACTTGGTTTATAGAAGTTTTTCCTATAATCCCAAATGAAGGCCTTTTGTTGATCCGAGTACTTATTTAAGAACTTTGAGTGTGACATTGTACTTCCACGTTCCAAGTTATAGGCTAACTTTTCCATTTTCTGTAGTCTTGAATTAAACTTTGGTAAGGAATATAAGAGATGGATTATCCTGTTGCACTGCTGTGTGCTAGTTGTCTAGGCTGGTGTGCATGACTCTATTTTTATCTGTGTTGGTCTTTGTCATTGGACAGATTTATTAATCAATTGAAGCTGTCATTTTATTATGTTAAATATGCGGTATTTCCAAATACTTCACACCACATGTTATGGTAAAATTTAACTTCTACCAAAAGTAACTCAAAGCATAGATATTATTACCGTATTTAAACCACATTTTCAAGAACAATATTTGCATTTCAATAACACCACATTTCATATTATTAATTATACCCGCATAAACAATTTGTTTGCATTTTTTGATGTTTATTTTATAAAAATGAATGTGTTAATTAAATTAATATTTTATTTAGAATTTGAAAATTATATTTAATGGACGATTCACAAATTTAACTAAATCTAAACCATTGATGAGCAGATTAGTTTGAGTTAGATTTAGTCTTAAAAGTATGAGTCAAATAATCAATTCAATTCAAAGATTATTGATTAGATTAGGTATTAAATTTAATTAAATTAAATTCAACCGGATTTAATTTTAAAATTATGAGTTGGACACTCAATTCAAATAAAAAATTATTGATTAGATTAGATATTAAATTTAATCAAATTAGACTCAACCGAACACGCGAATATTCATAATTATTAATTAAATAGTCAAAAATAATCTTTCACGTGAAAGAGGGATAGACCTACATTTTCATTTTTACCTTGACTGTGACTTAGCCTCCAATTCACTCACTCCAAAACAAACCTCATCCCTTCCTTAGATTTATCCGGCCATCTTCCTCACCACACCACCCTACACTTCCATTGCCACACCCACACTAAATCCACACCGTGACTTCACCTCCAATTCACTCACTCCAAAACAAACCTCACCCCTTCCTTAGATCTATCCGGCCATCTTCCTCACCACACCACCCTACACTCGCCATTGCCACACCCACACTAAATCCACACCATAACCAAACTTCATCTCACCATCTTCATTCAACAACCTTCCACTTCTATAACACTAACACAACTTTCTCATATATCCAAGAACAACTATAACCCAATAAGCATGAAAAAGCTTCTTTTTTAATCCTCATAATACCAACACGTTAAAACTCTTCACCACTTTAAACCATTTTTTGTATCAACACACATACCACATCTCATAAATATAAACATAATCAATCTCCATTAACTCACCCAAACAAAAAACTTGCAGTGAACCAATTGAATATCATCCTCCTTTCTTCTAAACCATAAAAAAAAAAAAAACTCACATAAACACACTCCATCATTATTTCTCTTTAACTTTCTCTTAATTTCTTTCATCAAGCTTCATCACATAAAACTACACTATATCACTAACAAATTTTCATTTTCTCTCTCCATAAAACCATAGCAAACACACTTACTTCACCCTTACTATAGCCGTGCCATTTTCCATTGTCTTCGCAGCTCACATATATTCGCCAGCCTCCATTTGAAACACAATCCATCCTTTCCCTCTTACACGCAGCTATGCAACTGTACCACGTACACCCTTCCTCTGCCGCTAGACTCCAAGGCAAGAGGAAGAAGAGCCAAAATAGAGAGCATGGCGTGCGAGTGAGAAGCAGAGAGAAAGCTGCGCGAGAGACGGAGGGAAGACATACTTGAGACGAGACTGAGAGTGTAAGACGTGCACTGAGAGAGAAGGAGAGATACATCAAAGTAAGCAATATCGTTTTGTTCTTCTTCATGTTGATTAGTTTGGCTATGTTGTTATTTATATTTTTTATCTTTTACTCCATTTGTCATATGTGAGACAAGGTTTGAAATTTGTTTTTTTCTTTCTTTAAACAAGAGTACCATGAGCAGAGAGGGAGAGTTTGAATTTGACTAAGAAAGTTATATTTATATGTTACTGCATTGATTGATGAGAGAGAGAAGTTTAGAGTTTTGTCTTTGTTTCCTTTTTTGTTTTTTCTTCTGCTAACCCGTGCCAGTATGTACTGAGTTGCATGTCATGAGTTGTTTATTTAAATGAAAAATGGAAATAGGATTCATGTTATTCACAGAGAAAGAAAGGGGCGTGAAAACTCATTTCAAGAAGAAGGCGGTCTCTATTTTGTATTGCTTTTTTCAGTACTATTTGTTTTGAGTCTTTATGTTTGGTTTGTAGAAATGTTTAAAAAAAATGTGTTGTTGTCTGCTGAATCACTAGGGGTGCCGCCCCTTTATTCATGCCTTTTTTTTATTTTTTATATTTATTCTTTCTATATTTTTCTTTAATATTAGCATTATTTTTTCAATGACATATGATTAGTTAAGGTTTGATGGGTTTAGACAATTGGGTCTTGGGCCCAACTTAGTTTTTGAACCCTATATTAATCTAGGCACCATTTTGTTTAGACATTGAATGATTAAGTTGATTTTAATATTTAATTATTTATTTTTTTATTTGCTTTGAGATTTACTTGATTAAGTTAATGTGTTTAAGTTTGATTTAATTAGGTAATATTTCAATGCATGTTTATACTCACACACATAAATAATCATGCTTACTATTTTTACAAACATTTTTTCAATCAAAACCACAAAACATTTAAAAGTACTCAAACACTTTTCATTAATAAAGATGAAAAAAGAGCGGAGTGTAGTCAACGTCTCCCGAGAAAGAGGACTCGAGATGTAGTTCTCGACCGTCTAAACTCTCTCATCAATTCAAAATACTTCAACACATCAAAATTTTTTATCTCGCCTCCGTGCGATCTTTCAAACCCTTTTTTTTATAAACATGAGATATTGTGTCTTGAGACGACGCAAAATATTGTTTCGTCCATAAACTACTTGAGTTGAGATAAGAGGCGTTTCTCACGAATGTTGATTTGTAAATCCATTATGTTGTGATGCAAACGTCTGCTCTTCACCTGCTTTGGGTAAAACAATGTTTTTTTGTCGAATGTGACTAAATATCTTTTGCTAAAATTGACCAACAAACAAACCTTTTTTACTCAGAACTATATGTGCCTTGATTTCTCTTTCTAGATACGTATGAGTAAGATTGCGAAATCTTGTCAGACCCTAGTAATAAAAATCTCCAGGTCCCTTTTCTCTTTTCTTTCCCCTCTTAATAACTTGAGAAACATAGTTCCTAAGCAAACATTAACACACACAACTAACCTAACGGTTCTAACTGAGTACAACGAACGTTAGGGGGTAATAAAACTTTCCCCTTGCATAACCGACTCCCGAACCCATATATTTGTTATGATGACCATATCCTTATCTTTCTTTTTAGGGGTTTTATTCAATATTTTCTCTTTCCCTCTATGAAAATAAATAATGATCGGTGGCGACTCTGTTAAGTCCATCCCACGAGCGTGCGGTTGCGCTTCGCGAGATCATTCTTATTTTTTGAGGTACAACAAACATCCT